TTCTTTCTATTCATGTCTTTTTTCTCTTTCATTTATATGCTTTCTGTGTAACTTCCTCTTGTCCTATGGCTTTATGCCACCTGTAGAGATGAAAATCTAATAGATTTCTTGATAAAAGCACTTCTCTGGAGCAGTATGTACATATAGCCAACTGCTGAATGTATCTACCTTAACACCCCATTAACACCTCAAATTTAATATTCCAAAATTAAACTCTAATTTCACCATCAAAATTGGCAAATATGGGAGCTATTGTTGGGAGGCAATTCTCCATAGCATTTCTACCTACGTATCTCAGATTATCTTCCAAGGATGTTAGTATAGCAAACAACCTTGGAACATAGAGGGTGCAATGAAGTGAATGTTTGTGTCCCCCTGAAAATTTATATGTTGAAATCCTAACCCCCAATGTGATGATATTAGAAGATGGGGCTTTGGGGAGATAATTAGGTCATGAAGGTGAAACCATCACAAATGGGATTGGCACTTATACAAAAAAGATCCCAGGAGCTCTCTGTTCCCCTTTCTGACATGTAAAAAACACAACGAGAAGTCAGCAGTCTGCAATTTGGAAAAGGGCTTTTGTCAGACAGAACCTGACCATAATGGCACCTGATCTAAGACTTACAGCCTCCAGAAATCTAAGAAATAAGTTTCTATTGTTTATAAGCCACCTAATCTATGGAATTTTGTTATAGCAGCCTGAACGGACTAAGACAGGTAGTGTCTTCCTCTGAGTCACAGGGCAAATATGTTTCCTGATTAGGATAACAAAGATAATTTTTTCCTTCATGAGCAAAGCTTGGGCAGCTTTGCTAACAGACCCTTTAAAAGATTGGGGGTTCCTTTGTGCATGATTCCTCAGCTCTGAGACCACTGCAGGTCAGCATTCACCTGGGTCTGCTCCACATTGCCCATGAGACTTGGGGAATAAGGGGAACCAGTACAAACATGAATCTCGTACTGCCTGCTGTCCCAAGAGTAAGCAACTGTCTAAATCTGTTTTGGCTCACTGTTTCCTTATCAGCTGAATTTATGGAAGTGTGACCAGCCAGCCTAGCAGCTGCAGTAGTCGCTGTTGCTTAGAGACTGCTGGTCTACTTGACAGCTATATGTCTACACAAGGAAGGAAAGGGGAAAATGGCCACGATAGTGCATAAAAAATTCGACATTGGGTTAGTAGAGGCTGGAGATGGAAATGTTTGGGCCAAGTGGAAGACTAAGGACTTCAACTGGTGGGTTGTCAAAAGCAGAGGTAGAAAACCCTAGATACCTCTTTAGGTACTTCAATCTGAAGAAGTCACCAGTTGTGTATCTCAAAATGCAGAGCAGAAATCCATCTGCCACATGTGCACTTCAAAGGTCTGACTCACATATATTGGACACTGGCTTCCTGCTGCCCACAATGGAGAAACTCACTAGCTAACAAGTTATGCCACTTGTATTGGGCATAAGAAAACACTCAGGATTAATCAACAAATAAACAAAAATGATATTCCTTTAGTGTTCTACGTCTCAGTTAAAGGTACTCTTTACCATCCCCCAAGTCAAAAACTTGAGAATTGTTTCCTACTCTTCCCTTCCTTTTATCTTCTCTCCTAATCTATTCCATCATATTGATGACGAAGTCCTGACAATTCCATCTCTGTTACATATCTTCTTTCAGTCTCTTTATCACCATCCCACTTCTACAGCTTTACTTCAGGCTATCATCACTTTGCATCTGGACTCTTCCTATAGTCATCTAACCTATCTCTTTGTCTCAAGTATTGCTTTCTTCAAATATTTATCTGTTCTGCTGCTAAACTGATCACATTGGTTCCCTGCCTAGAACTCTTTTGGGTTTCCAGACTGCCTGAAGGTGAAGTCCATACTGAAAAATGGCATATAAAGCCTAAAATAATCTGGCGAATGCCCTTTCTTCGCTTCCTGGTAAACATCTTACTCAGTTTTCAGGATAGTTTTCATAGATGTGACCTCTTCTCTTAAGTTTTCTTGATACTCTTTGCCCCATTACACTGGAGTTCTAACTATATTTTGTACACAGTTCAGTCAAAACACTGGTATGCTTTATTATATTTGTGAGTTTACATATTTATTCCCTTCATACTGGATTATTAAATAAGTGAAGAAATGATATCCCTTCTTTATCCCTAGCACTTTGCACAGTGCAGAACACAGAGTAAGCACTAAAAAAATGCTAGCTAAATACGTTAACGAATGGGTAGATGAAGAACATTAATATCATCTGCTGACTTAGAATCATGTTGGTTGTACTGAACTGGAACAGAAAAAAACATGGCATCAATTTTATACACAGTAATTACTTTAAAACATATTAAATTAAAATGAGCAAGGACTTATGAATCAGAGTATAAATGTTTATTAATATTTAAGGTAAAGTGTTTAAAGAAAGTTTGAATATGACTTGGACTACTTTGGGCTAAGGCCCAGATTGCCCCAGGGCAGACAAAATTAGTGTTCATGTTCTCTACCACTGAGGGGGTACTTTAGTGTAAAAGTTTCCAAAGTAATGTTAGAATATTACATTTATTGTAAGTCATAATATTTAACTCACAATAGAGATATTATTAGCTAGGAAACAGTTTACATAAAAGGGGTATAAAGCTGCTATGCTGTAATATTGGTGTCCCCCTGCAAATTCATATGTTAAAATCTAATACCCGATATGATAGTATTAAGAGGTGGGGCATTTGGAAAGAGATTAAGTCATAAGGGCCCTTATAAAAGAGGGCCAAGTAAGTTCATTTGCCCGCTTCCACAATGTGAGGATGCAGCAAGAAGTGGTGAGCGAGCCCTCACCAGACACCAAATCTTCTGGTACCTTGATCTTGGACTTCCCGTCCTCCAGAGCTGTAAGCAATAAATTTCTATTGTTTATAAATTATCTGGTCTAAGGCATTTTGTTATACTAGCCTGACTGGACTAAGACAATCACTTAAACCAACAATACAGGAAGGTCTGCATTTATATCCAAAATATATTCTTAGATAATTCTTTACATAAAAAAATTCAACATGGAATTCTTTTAAATATCAAATTCTCCTATGGCATTTAAAATACTGTTCAAATTATAAATATGTGACCCTCCCTCAACTTTTCAGGAAGACAAAAATTCTTACATCCTGGATTTCATATCAAGTTTAGTCCATGATAACAATTTAGAGGGAAGATTTAAGCTCGTACTACAGACTCCAGCTTTAGTCTGCACTCCTGCCTGTAATCTATAGATAATGTCACATAAACTAAGGAAGAAGTTGAACTCCAATGCTTCTGCAAATCTTTAGTTGAAATAGAGATTAAGTAATTTTTAGAAATAGTTGACCACATTTTCACAGCACAAAATATTTTTAAGCAAAGGTTATCAAGGTTCATCTACTGCTGACATTTTTTAAGTTATTTTTGTTAAAGAAAGAAACTGTCAAAACAAGTTTATCTACAATAGGCCAACTATAGATTCTCTTCCAGTCTCTTAGAATTTATTTAGAAAAAAAATTTTATGTGAGTGTATATGTATACATATGTATGTGTGTCAGTAATTATGTGTACCTGGCAGGTAACTTTGCTGCTTTATGACACTTCTTGAACCACTAGTAAATAACTAAGTGGCTACAAGTGTTAAGAAAATAAAAGCAATCCAAAAACAGAGGGTGGAGGCAGCTGAAACTTTGTAAGTTGCTCAAAAGACTATCTTGGGTCAATGCAAGAGGAAAATCTGAGAACATTTCCTTTAAAAGAAAAAAAATAATAAAACAGAGCATGTAACTTCAGAGTTCAACTTGTGCCTAATCTCTTTGTGTGGGATTTTTTCATTCCAACATGTATCTCCCAGGACAGGCACAACAGCAATCCCTAAATCATGTTCATCCTCTGAGAATAGTATGTAATAAACATAACCTTCCTTAAGGAGATATGTGGGTCAGGGTAAAACACTTTATCTCCCATCCTACAAATCCGCAATATTTATAGATAGTATCTAGTAAAAACAAATACTAATGGCCACTTTGCTGGGGAAAAGAACGGATGCAGATGTAACAAAAGAACATGTGCCTTAGGAAATATGGAAGGGGAAAGGATTCTCACAATCACTTGAGTATTGTATGAAGTTTATGTATATTTCATTTCTTTTGTTTAACACTGGGTTGTAGGCACCACCTCCTTGGCACACTATAACTACATCACTGAACCAGTTTCTGGTACTCACAGCTTTAAATATGAGTCCAGCAGATAGTCAAGTCCTTGTTAACAATAATGTCAGAAACTATTTTCATGACAAATATGGTATCTGCAGGATACCTCGGATTTCTATTCCTATTCCATTCTACATCTTTGGGTGACAAAATCTATAATCTGGCAGATGCGTATAGAGTAGATAATGTTGTCTTTGAAAAAGCATATTCAAATATCTAGAACATCAATCTTTTGTATATTGCCTTACCCTCTTTTTTACCTTTTTATACGCATTTCAAGGTAACTTTAGAGCGAAACACCTTAAAGAAAAGACAAAGAACAGATAGAAACTTCACTTCCCAGCCACTCAGTATTTATAGCAGCCATTCTGAAGTATTTTGGATACACTTTTCATGTGGTATGTATTCTAAACTGTAAGGAGCAAGTGCTGGAGAAAACAGTGAAATGACCTGTTATTCCATGAAAAGAAAAGAGGTATTTCTTTGGAACCACCACTACACCTGCTAAGCTTTACTGAAATTCAACCCCTACATTGCTCAATTACTGACACCTGGGAGCTGGCTAGCAAAAAACATGGTTGGGCCGGGTGTGGGGAAAGTGTTCAAATACATCCATCTTGGTTCCTGGGTAAATAACTTTTGCAAATGCCTATGGTTTTCTGGTATAACTGAATTTGGGTTTAATATATGGTGAAAGAATCCAAACACTTGTGTTTTGATACACACACATACACCCAAAAAAATGTTTTAAGATATTTGGCAAGGCATTTTGTTTTTAACATTTGTGAAATGCAGCCTAACAGTGTTCTTACTGTAGTCCTGCCCAAAAGTGATCACTTTTCTGTACTTTTCCTATGACAAATTTATTTTCCCTATATGCTTTTGTTGGCTAGCAGCTTTGGCATGACCTGACTGACAATGAGCCAGAAGATCTGAGCCGGGGGAAAATGCATGGCTCTCAAGTCTTGGCACAGTGGTGGATAAGAGCAGAGCAAATGCCACGCATTCAAGCAGGGCCCTGTGTGTTGGCTCATCAGCTCACCAAAGGACACCACGGAGAGCAGATGAAGATGATATACCCTACAACCTCAGAAATAGAAAGTCAATTTTTAAAAATTGGTTTTTCAATGTTAATTAAACAATTGCCAAAACCTCAGTTAGCTTAGTAAGCTAAACGGTGGGTCATATGTTACAGGCTTTGGTTCATTGCTGCCCTATCTAGAACTTGAGAAAGACCCCCTCTCGTGGCTTACCTTTTCCCTGTGAAGGAGAAAGGGAGGCTGTCAGCTCAGAGTGAGGATGGAAGTGGCAGAGTTGAAAGAGGTCATCCTAAACCATGAATTGTAAAGGTATTTTAAGAGCAAATTCTTCAAAGAACATACATATATCTGCAGTGGCAATCTGATTAGGGTATCAGCATTTGAAATTAATCTTTAATCTACTACTCTAGCACTTAATTTTAAGCAACATACATAAGTCTTAAATACTATGTACTAGGTGATATCAAGGTATGTTAGCTTATTATCTAGAAAAGAGAATCCAAAGATTTCCAAATTAACTGACCGAAGAACACATTGGCGAGCACACATACACACAGGAAAGAAATTTTTTTTTTTTTTTTTTTTTTTTGAGACAGAGTCTTGCTCTGTCACCCAGGCTGGAGTGCAGTGGCATGATCTCAGCTCACTGCAAGCTCCGCCTCCCGGGTTCACGCCATTCTCCTGCCTCAGCCTGAGTAGCTGGGACTACAGGCGCCCAGCGCCACGTCCAGGTAATATTTTTTTGCATTTTTAGTAGAGACAGGGTTTCACCGTGTTAGCCAGGATGGTCTCGATCTCCTGACCTCATCATCCACCTGCCTCAGCCTCCCAAAGTGCTGGGATTACAGGTGTGAGCCACCGCGCCCAGTTCAAGAAAGAAAACTTTTAACTCTCACTCTAACAAAAACTTATCTTCATCAGAATCTGAGTAGTTTCATTCAATAAGTGAATGGGTATGATATCTGGCATGTGATTAACCCTATCACTAAACAAATAAGGCAATGATTTGTAAAACTTTTCTGTACCACAGAAAAGTTAAAGCTAAAAGCTAGAAGTTATTCCCAAAAAAACATGCATACACATCAAATTTTACAAATAATTTCAGAGAGTTCACAGACCTCCATAAAATCTATTGCATCAGTTAGCCTTTGCTGTATAAAAAACCACCACAAATGTTATGGCTTAAAACAACATTATTTACCTCAAAACTTTAGGGGTCAATAATTTAGGCTGAACCCAGCTGGGCAGTTCTTCAGGTCATGTCTGTGTTCCCTCATACATCTGTGGTGAGACATAGGTCAAGTAGTTAGATCTGCTTCTGGGTGTTGGCTCTCAGAGGCTAGAACATTTTGGCTCAGTTCCATGTGATCTGTGATCTTCTAGCAAGTTGCCCAGATTTATTATCATGGTGGAAGTAGGTGCCTGAAGGAGAATGGAAATACACAAAGCCTCTTGAGGACTAATAAGAGAATTGGTGCTACTGCCTAGTTCTTTTGACCAAAGCAAATCACAAGGCCTTCCCACATTCAGGGGGCTGGAAAATAGTCTCCACCTCTTATGTAAGGTGTTATAAAATTACATATAAGGGACATTATTACAGGGAGGAATAAAAATTAAGACCAATTTTTCAACTGATTTACCATACCCACCATGAACCCAGGTTAATTTTCTACAATGAAAATGAAGTCATATGGTTTAAAAAATAAAGTTTATTTTTATAAACATGCAAGTACAAAAATTAATCATTGTTTGCATTTCAGAACATGTCCTTGTACTGTAAAGTCCAGACCCAACAGAACACCGTGGGGAAATAAATATGCCCCACATAACTTACAGTTCCCATTTTGTTAGAACCTCATGGATTGCACATATTTTTGGTGGAATGAATGTTAGCGATATTGATGGGTCAGCTGAAGAAAGTGACACAGGATATTATAAATGTCTATGTCAGTTTCTATACCCAACTCCATTGAAGTGATACAGGACTTCAAGACTTTCCATGTGTCTCATTCCTTTGTGATCCTATAGTAAATAATACTAACATTTCCTACTAAACCAGAATCCTAGAAGGCAGCATTTTTACAAAAAATAAGAAAACTTCAGGACAACAAAAGTCTAAACAGGAAATATTGAATGTATAGGGTATCCTGGTGTGTAATGATTTACCCAGTGATTGCAATAGCATTATCAAAAGTCAGCTGTCAATAGATTTGAGTACCATCATGTTTTCCTTTTTGTGGAAAGAACAGAAAAGTAAAAACTGACTGTAGAAATCTCGGTAAATAATTGGCAATCAGTGACTGAATTTAGGCAAAATGTATGTCCTTAATTTGGGTACATTTAGTTCACATCATTTCTGACTTTGCCATTACCAAAGAGTATACATGTCTAGTTAGATTTTCTTTGATATCCTAATGCGGTAATTCTTCTTACATGCTTTTTATTTTTAATTACAATAGAATGGATGCAATGACTGAATCCCACAGGAATGAATCATCCATCTCATCCCAACTCCCTCTCTATAACCTTCTATTAGTTTCCTACTGCTGCTATAAAAAATTGCCACAAATTAGGTAGCTTAAAACAACACTGATTTATTATCTTATAGTTCTGGAGGCCAGACATCTGAAATGAATCTCACTAAGTTAAAGTCAGTGTGTCAACAGGCTGCATTCCTTTGTGGAGGCTCTAAGGAGCCTCCATTTTCTTGCCTTTTTCAGCTCCTGCAGGCTGCCAGAATTTCTTAGCTCATGTCCTCCCACTTCCACTTTTAAGGACTCTTGTGATTACATTGGATCCACCCAGATAACCTGGAATAATTTCCCCATTTTAAAGTCAGATGACTGCAAATCTTAAGTCTATCTTCTACCTTAATTTCCCTTTGTCATGCAACAACATATTCACAGGTTCCAGGGATTAGGACATGGACATATTTGGGAGCCATAATTGTGCCTGCCACAAACCCAAGCCCATACCTTCTTTTCTCAGCTTCCCCTAAATATTGATGACTAGTGGTATGAACCAATTCTTCCCAAGAGAGGCTCTATAGTACATGTTCATATTAAGCAGAGGTTCTTTATGAAGGCAAATGGCATTTTCCCAATGCAAACTCTAGAAATGTTAACTATATTACCATTGAAATGTAAAAGAATGTATCATGGTTTTATCAGTCATAAGAAGGGTCACTTGAAAGAGTAGATTTCAGATATTTTTATATACTATGGATGAACTATACTCAGAAACAATTAAATGCATCATGCTTAATTATTGATAGGTTCCTTGATTTATTACAGACCTTCTGCAAGTCTACTGCTTATTTTTACCACTTCTTTTGCAAAATGTTTGATAATAATTGCTTCTTACTTTGAGGTAGGGATCAATATCATGATTTAATTTTTTTAAACTACTAAATAAAGGTAAGCAAGATGAGTCTTTGTTCTCAACTTCAAATAAACTAGTAAAAAAAAAAGATTCTGCCCATCTACAAACAGACATCAGACTTAATTAAATCCTGTTATTTAATTCTTTATACTCCCAGAGAACAAGCATGGTCTAATTCAGTGTATAATGAAATATGACAGGCTGAAGACAGGAGTTCTAAAGCCAGAGAAAAAGAATAACCAACTAGAAAATACTAAATGAGGAAAGAAAAAAGACCTGGGAAGAAAGGAGAGAGCAGCTATTGCAATAAGAAGGGAGAGGGCATGAATTTCCTTGGGGATTAAACAGTGGTTAAATAGTAGTTGCCTTGTTTTTACTTGATATGACTTAATTTAAAATGTTGATACAAAATGTACAATGTTATATTTGAAAGCATAAGGAAATATGAGAATAAATAAATGCTGACTTGGAAGTTGATTATATGAGGCAGCAGCTCTTTTGCTATGTATTCCATTTATAAAAACTACCTTTGTCTCCATTAAGAAATGTTCACTCAAGAAATGATGTGGGATGTGTAGATATTCCCATTACCAGTAGAAATTTGGGGGGAAAAAAATAAATAGTCATGGGCTACTTATTAGCTCACTGTTTATATAGTTAATGAACACTAACTATATTCAGATAAATCTTGGTGTACTAGTCAGGGTTCCCTAGAGGGACAGAACTAATAGGATAGAGATAGATAGATAGATAGATAGATAGATAGATAGATAGATAGATATGCAAATGGGAGTTTACTAAGTATTAACTTACATGATCACAAGGTCCCACAATAGGCTGGCTGCAAGTTTGAGAAGCAAAGAGAGCCAGTCCAATCCCCAAAACTGAAGAAATTGGAGTCTGATGTTTGAGGGCAAGAAGCATCCAACATGGGAGAAAGATGTAAGCTGGGAGGCTAGGCCAGTCTTCTCTTTCCATGTTTTTCTGCCCACTTTATATTTGCTGGAAGCTGATTAGATTGTGCTTACCAGATTAAGTGTAGGTCTGCCTTCACCAGCCCACTGACTCAAACGTTAATCTCCTTTGACAACACCCTCACAGACACACCCAGGATCAAGACTTTGCATCCTTCGATCTAATCAAGTTGAAACTCAGTATTAACCATCACAAGTCCACTCCTAGTCAATGTGAACCCATACACATCTCCTGAGATTATAATTTTCAAATAAAGACAATAATGAGGTCATAATTATACCTTACATAATACAAGTATCCTTCATACAACCAGAAACGCACTACATAATTATACCTTACATAATACAAGTATCCTTCATACAACCAGAAACGCACTAATCCCCAACCCAAATACTATTACATAAAGTCAACTATACTTAAATGCTGACATGAAGTCAATAAATCTTATGTTACATGATAAAGGAAAAGGAAATAAAATGAAGATATTTTCTTAGTACAATTGTATACATGCACAAACAAGTTTTTAACAAAAGAAGGGGGAAATACTTATGACAGTTACAGTCCTCGTTTCTGCAGCTGGTCACGTGATCATAGCTGGTATTGATCACTACCTTCTTCTACTACCCATTCTGTATTCCCTTTGCCTTCAGCAAGCACCTCAGCAGGTCATGGGTTTTTTTCCTGGTAGAGTGACCCAAACCTTCATTCCTGAAGGGTCTTGACCATTTGTAGACCTGCCTGAATTAGGCTATTGTAGTTTCCCATTGACCTTAATCACAGGGCATGGTAACACTAAGAGATGCGCTAATGGATCTCCTGTGTTCCATGCGTACTCTTCCTTACCTGAGTTATGGAGTAGTAGACTGATTTCTGGATCACTCAGCATACTCCATTTTCACGGAACAGCAGAGACTACACACTGCTGTCCTGTGTAATTCAAGAATGGTTCTACTTAATCACTAACAAGCAACCAATGTGACTGTGAGAAGAAGACATTTTGAGAGACAGAATTAATTTGCTTCTACAAAAGAGACAGGGGTAAGTAGAAAAGTAATCTCTCTTAATTTCAATAAGGTTTTTTCAGTATCTCACAAAACAATGTCAAAGACATTTAGAAAAGCAAGTTTTGGGACAAGCTGATTCACAAGGATTAACCCTCGATCACATCACATTTTAAATCTTTACTAGTATTCAGAATAAAGTAATTAAAATATGAAGTTTACTATGTATGTATGTTAAGTATCTGCTTGTGTTCTGTAAGACATAATGAATTCCAAATGACTTTGATAAAATAGCTACATTTTCTATAAAATGAGATTAAAACAGAGATCAAAAATATGTACATTTAGAAACCAAAATAAATCATTCAAATGTATCTCTTGTGAAACAACTGGGAACTAAGTGGCAAGACTACGTTTGACCAGAAGCTGAATGATTTAGCAACATAATACCCTAACCTGGTGGTTTTCAGTCAAGGGTACTTTGGCCCACAGGGCATATTTGGCAGTGTCTGGAGCCATTTTTGATAGTCACAATTGGGAGGATGCTATCAGCATCTACTGGTTAGAAGACAGAGATATTGCTGAACATCCCACACACAGCAAAGGCTACTCACAAAAAAGAATTACCTTGTTCAAAGTTTCAACTGTGCTGAGATTGAGGAAAAAAATAACAAATTATGTGATACAGGAATTTATTAAAATAAATACTATTAGCATTTAAAGTTTCCCTTCAACCACATTCTGTCCTAAATCTTTATTAGAATATTATATTCCATTTTAGGGTATTACCCTTCAGAATGTATAGATTTAAATGATTGTAAATAGACTATTATGATTGTCCATGTCTTTGTCTTCTGCTTATACAGTAACATTTAGTTATTGCTCTGTCTCTCACTTATTTAGAAGACCTGAAAATAATTCATGCCTTTTTTGAAGGTAGGTTCTGTGTCGTGGGTATCTAAGATACCTGGATTTTTTTTAATGCCTTACAAATACACTGTCTGATAAACAGGTTAAAAAAGAAAGCTAAATAAAGATTACATTGAATGTTTTAGAGAATTAAGTCAGTTCTCAATTACGTGTTAAAAGAAAATCTCTAAAAGTTAAAACACATAGAAAAATATCCAATGTACCAAAAATACAAATACCACAAAACTCTAAATGAACGAGCCAAAACTCTTACATTACCAACATCAAACTATCCCAAAGGCTGAAAATGTTTTAATAATATGCATTTTATAGTTAGAAATGTGGTAAAAAATAAAGAATGAAGAATTTCAAAGCAAAATAAACGAATCTTCAACTCACTTAAAGTAGACAGCAGTTAGAAAGGAGAAAAGGTGCTGGAAATGAAGTTAGAAGTGATTATTTTAAAGAGCGGGAACGACAAGAAAGTTTTTGTGGTGAGAAGATTTTGCTTTCATGAGGCCACATTGAACAAAATGACACAGTGGAACCATTTTGTGTGGTCCTGTTCATATTTCCATTGGATAGACACTGTACTGATTCTACCATATGCTTTGCAGCCAAATATGACAAAATGTAACCTTAAGCAAAAATATATATATAATATTGTTTGTTATTTAAATTTCAAAACAAGTATTATTTTCAGAACAAGAACCACACAGCAGTTAAGTATTATGAAACATACTCTATGTATGAGCATAACTTCAGCCCATTTTCTAAATGTTCTTTGATGAGAAGATTTAATTTAAAATATCTTTTAATTTATTAACATGTTCTATTTCACAAATGAAATAAATGCTACTTTGATAATGTATTATCTGATAACTAAAAGTACATAATTTGTATTATTTTAAAGTAATGTGACCTGGAAATGGGGAAAATGTGGGAAATCCTCAGAAAAGTCTTTTTATCTAATAGCTAGTAGTTTCAACCTCTTTACCAACAAAATATCTTCCCAATAAAATACCAATACAAAATTAAGGATCTTCTTAGAATTTCTCTCCCCAGAATGTAAGGAGAAGCAAAACCCAACTGCATCAACTCTTTAATAATTAGGGATTAACCATGTTTCCAAATCAATGCCTTTCTCAAATCTAGAAAATTCTCTGCCATTGTTTCTTTAAATATGGCAACTGTCATTCCTCCCTAGTCCTCCCTATCCTATCCTGGAACTCCTCATGAAACAAACGTTAGACCTCTTCAATTTACTTTCCATGTTTTTTAACCCCTCCTTTCTACTTTTATTTTTTTTCCTCTGTGCTGCATTCATTTTATCTCCTCAGACCTTCCATCTCACTAATTCTTTCTTGAACTGTGTCTAACACACAGCATAACTTATTGTATTAGTCAGAGCTCATAACAGAGAAACAGAGAAACAGAACCAACAGGAGATAGATTGATAACAATATAGATACTTATTCTAGAAATTGCTCACGTAATGATGGAGGCTGAGAAGTCTCATGATCTGACATCTTCAAGCTGGGAAATCAGAAAAGCCAGCAGTGTAAGTCAGTTGAGGTTTACTAGCCTGAGAAATGGTATAGGAGCCAATGGTGTAAGTAACATTCTAAATCCAAAGGCTCAAAAACCAAGAGTACCAATGTCCTACAGCAGGAGAAGATGGATGTCCCCACTCAAACAAAGATTAAATTTTTCCTACCTCCACTTTTTTGTTCTATTTGGAGGCTCAATGGATTGGATGATGCTCACCCAAATTGATAAAGTTTATCTTTACTCAGTCTACTGATTCAAATGCTAATCTCTTCTGGGAACAGCTTCACAGCACACCCAGAAATAATGTTTTACTAGCTATCTGAGTAGCCCTTAGCCCAGTCAACATGACACATAAAATTAAACATCACACCTATCCACTGAGCTCTGTATCTCCAGTGATTGTATACTGCATTTCTAGAAGTTCTCTAGTTATTTCCCAAATCTAACTTTTCTTTATTGATAGAAAAGTTGGCTTTGTTTTTTTATTCCTTCTTTCATGTCCTTATTTATTTTAAAATATTAGTTGATGATTTTTGTTTACCATTTAAATCATGAAAGAACAAAATTCCAGCTAATTAAGTGGATCATGCTGATATGGGACATTGCCTCCTCACTTCAAACAGATACCTATGCAGAATAAAATAGTATAAAGAAAATTAAATTGCTGAGTTATAAATTAAGAGAAATTTGCAGGTGCTACAAATAAAGAGGAAACATGACGAGTGGGGTTAGGAGTCAAATTGTGTCCCTACGAAACTCACACATTGAAGTCTTAACTCTCAGTGCCTCAGAATGTGGCCTGATTTGGAAATAGGTCTATTGTAATGTAATTAGTAGTTAGGATAAGGTCATCATGGAGCAAGGTGAGACCCTACTTCAATAGGACTGGTATTTTTTAAGAGGGGGAAATTTGGACAAAGGCACACACGTGCAGGAGAATACCATGTGAAGATGAAGGCAGGGATTATGCTTCTACACACCATGGAACACCAGAGATTGCTAACGAGGGACCAGAAGCTAGAGGGGAGGCATTGAAAAGATTCTTCCTCATAGCCCACATAAGAAACCAACTTTACCAATTAGCTTGATCTCAGGCTTCTAACCTCTAGAACTGTGAGACAATAATTTTTTTTGCTTTTTAAGCCACTTAGTCTGTGGCACTTTGTTATGGCAACACTAGCAAACTAATACAAATGGTAAACTGAGAGGCCGAAGCCATTGGGCTCACTGGATAATCAGGAAAGTGATTAGTATTACAGGCTGGGAGACAGGGCTTTAAGCCTGGGAAAGAAAATAATTCAAAGACAGAACTTGTGCCCCCAGGGTGGTAAAAACTGAGCTAGGAGCCTAGAAGACCTTTTTTTTTTTTTGAGATGCAGTCTCACTGTGTCACCCAGGCTGGAGTGCAGTGGCCCCAATTCAGCTCACTGCAAGTTCCGCCTCCTGGGTTCACGCCATTCTCCTGCCTCAACCTCCTGGGTAGCTGGGACTATAGGCGCCCGCCACCACGCTTGGCTAATTTTTTGGTATTTTTAGTAGAGACGGGGTTTCACCATGTTAGCCAGGATGGTCTCAATCTCCTGACCTTGTGATCCTCACGCCTAGGCCTCCCAAAGTGCTGGGATTACAGGCGTAAGCCACCGTGCCCGGCCCAGAAGGCCTTTTTTGTGAGTAAAAAGAGACTAGAGAAATTATACTTACTGAGCTAAGGGAATTTCTTAAAAGTTTATCTTCTGAGAGGCTTAAGCGAAAAAAAAAGTTATCTTGGACAACTGGAATTCCAATTTTTTTTTCTTTGCTGCATGAGATTATTTAATTTAAAAATTCAAAGGAGGCAGCGTGTGGAGTGATATCTGTCCACTCTCAGGCAAGAACCTGTGTGCACACATCCTCCAATGTCCTGCATGGCCTCTCACATCAGAGTTGGCTCAGACTCTGACTGTGGCTCCATCAGTAAATGCAAGGCACAGGCCATGAGCTAGGGAGGGAGCCTTATAGCTTGGATCTGAGCACAGAGGGACATGCATGGTGGCTCGTACTCATATTGGAAGGCAGAACCATCACAATGCCTCTTTGAGGGTTTCCAGACAGCACAGGGCTCCTGGGCTCCCTTGGTAGCTCCAGTCCTTGGAGAAGGCCACCGATTCTTGCTGGGCAACCCTAGCTCCTTGAACTCCAGGCTAGGTTTCTGGGACCTGGTCACAAGGGCCTGATGTGGACTGGAGACATGGCCAAGGGGCGAGAGGCTGGGGCTATAGCTCTGGAGTGGGGAGTTGGGTGTATGGCTAAGGTGTGGAGCTGGGGTGCAGGGGACCAGGGGTTGAGCAGATGAGATGGCTGGTAGGGGCAGAAAGCTGCTCCCCTGCCCCAGTCTTTGCTAATGCATAACAAAGGTGACCATTGCTCCAGTTTCCAATAATTTTCTCATCTCCATCTGAGACCACCTCAACCTGGACTTCATTGTCCATGTCACTATCAGCATTTTGGTTACTACAACCTGGACTTCATTGCAACCTGGACTTCATTGTCCATGTCACTATCAGCATTTTGGTTACTACAATTTGACAAGTCTCTAGGAAGTTCTTAACTTTCCCTCATCTTCCTGTCTTCTGTGCCCTCCAAACTATTCCAACCTTTGCCTGTTACCCAGTTCCAAAGCTGCTTGCACATTTTCAGGTATCTTAATAGCAATGTCCTAATTCCTGGTACCAATTTTCTGTACTAGTCTATCTAGTCTATTCTTACACTGCTATAAAGAACTACCCGAGACTGGGTAATTTATACAGAAAAGAGGTTTAATTGGTTCGTAATTTCACAGGCTGTACAGGAAGCGTGGCTGGGGAGGTCTCAGGAAACTTGCAATCATGGTGGAAGAGGAAGAAGGCACATCTTCGCATGGTCAGAGCAGGAGGAAGAGAGAGCAGGGGATTGTGCTACACACGTTTAAACAACCAGGTCTCATGAGAACTCACTCACTACCACGAGAACAACAAGGGGGAAATCTGCCCCATGATCCAGTCACCTCCCACCAGGCCCCTTCTCCAACATTGGGGATTACAATTCGACATGAGATTTGGGTGGAGACACAATCCAAACCATGTCACTTATACTACCTTTTTATTTTTTATTCACCATGATTTTTAAAAAGTATTTTTCCTCTTCATGTATTTGGATGTATACATAATTTCTATTATTTAAGGGGTGGGATGGAAGAGCTTTCATTCTAAAGTAATAAGATCATTTAAGAGAGCGTTCGAGATAAGTGTGTATACTTTTAAATGTTCAGATGGATAAAGGAAAAAATAGAAACTATACGAACAGGACAACATGACAAAGGGATAGATGTTTTATACAGAATAAAATCAAAATTCTAAAAGTAAAAATGTAATTTTTATAATTAAAAACTCAACACAGGTTAAATAATAGGATAGATATGATTGAAGATAGAATTTTAAAACTTGACCTAATGAGAAGAAATTGCCCAACAGAGAAATAAAGATGTATAAAATAGAAAAAAAAAGTTAAGAGACAGAGAATCAGAGCCTGTAATCTCAGCACTTTGGGAGGCTGAGGTGGGCGGATCATCTGAGGTCTAAAGTTCGAGACCAGCCTGACCAAGATGGAGAAACCCCATCTCTACTAAAAATACAACATTAGCCGGGCATGGTGGTGCATGCCTGTAATCCCGGCTACTCAGGAAGGCTGAGGCAGGAGAATCGCCTGAATTCCAGGAGGCAGAGGTTGCAGTGAGCTGAGATCGCTCCATTGCACTCCAGCCTGGGCAACAAGAGCGAAACTCCATCTCAAAAAAAAAAAAATAAGCCAATAAATAAAAGTGTCACAGAAGGAGGTGATATGTGAGAAATAACATCCAGAGGGATAATGACTAAGAATTTTCCAGAGCTGGCTAAATATAGGAATGTTTAAATGAATTCTGAGAATATTTTTTAAAATCTATGTGTGTACATATACTAGCAATTAAAAAATTCAAAGAGAAAACCTCAGAAGCACTGAAGGATTGGAGATAAAAAGTCTGAATATCTGAAGAGATACAGCAATTAGATTGCCAGTAGACATCTTAAAAGTAATAATGGAACCACAAGATGGGAGAATAATACTTTTGAAATAATGACAAAAAAAATTTAACTGCTAGTCTACAACTGTGTATCAAACTAAACTATCATATTGGCTCTCTGTGGCCATTGAGGACTAAACAAGAGGAAATGGACATCAATAAAACATCAATAATTTAATAATAAATTTCCCATTTATTACTATTGCCTGGTGTTTAATAGTTTTCCAACCCTTCATATTTTTTTTTGCATAATTTTGTTTGAAAAGCATCTGTTGTGAATAGCAGATAGCTGGTTTTATTTTTAGTTTTTATATAATATTCTCTTGTATTGTAATCAGTGAATTTATTTACATTTACGCAAATTTATGATATATTTGGAATTACTTATAATACCTTTTTATTTGTTTATTCACCATCATTTTTAATTATCTTTTCCTTTCACATATTTGGAAGTACACATAACTTCTATTATTTAAGTGGTTACCTTGAAGTTTCAAAAATATATTTATATTTGATTTGTTAATTTAAAATTAATAGGCATCTTTAGTTTCCTCACAAGGAAGAATTCCTGGTCTGATTCTCCCTTTTATCTTATGTATTATTGTTGCTAGTTTTTTTACTCTCTATATTAAATGCCTTAAATGTTATTATTCTTTAAGATAATGTTTTAAAAATTAATCTTTTTTGCTCATTATTTCTTCTTTCATTTTAAGCTGTCCTTCAGAGACAATTTTCCTACTTCCTGAAGTACATCTTCCAAAGTTCCCTTTTTAAGGGTCTGTCACTGGTAAACTCCCTTAGTCATTATTAATCTGAAAAGATATTTATTTTACTTTTGTCTTTGAATGATAGTCTGCTGATATGATAGAGCACATTGATTAATTTGCATATGTTGAACCATCTTTTTGTTACTGAGATAAATCCCATTTGGTTATAAAGAATAATTGTCTAATTGTTGTTGAATTCAGTTTACTTGGCTTTTGTTGAAGATTTTTACACCAATGTTATAAGGGATATTGGACTATAATTTTGTCTTTTTGATGTGTGATATAGTTTGGCGTTGTGTCCCCAGCCAAGTATCATCTCAAATTGTAATCCTCACATGTCAGGGGCGGGGCCTGATGGGAGGTGATTGAATCATGAGGCAGACTTCTCCCTTGCTGTTCTTGTGACAGTGAGTGAGTTCTCAGGAAAGATGGTTGTTTGAAAGTGTGTGGCATTTCCCCCTTTGTTCTCTCTCTCACTCTTCTGCTGCCATGGTAAGACATGCTCGCTTCCCCTTCGCCTTCCACTGTTGTATGTTTCCTGAGGCCTCCCAGTCATGCTTCCTATTAAGCCTGCTGAACTGTGAGTCAGTGAAACCTCTTTTCTTCATAAATTACCCAGTCTCAGGTAGTTATTTATAGCAGTGTGAAAACAGACTAATATAATCTCTGGTTATGTTATCAGGGTAATACTCACTTTACAGAATGAGTTTGGAAGTGTTCCCTCCTTCTCTATTTCTTGGAATGGTTTGGTATTAGCTCTTGTTAAATATTTGGTAAACTTCAGGAGTGAAGCCATCAGGTCCCTGGTTTTTCTTTGCTGGGAGAAATTTTATCACAGCTTCAATCTCATTACTTGTTATTGGTCTGTTCAAGTTTTGGATTTCTTCACAGTTCAATCTTGATAAGTTAAATATATCTAGGAATTTCTCCATTTATTCTAGGTTTTCCAATTTATTGGCACAGAATTGCTCATAGTAGTCTCTAATGATGCTTTGAATGTCTGTAGTATCAGCTGTAATGATGTCTTTTTCATCTCTGATTTTACTTATTTGGGTCTTCTCTTTTTTTCTTAGCCTGGCTAAAATGTTTGTCAATATTTTTATCTTTTTAAAAAACAACTTTTTATTTTATTGATTTTTTGTATTTTTTAATTTCAAATTTAACTTTTAAGTTAAGGGGTACATGTGCAGATTTTTTATATAGGTAAACTCGTGTCATGGGGGTTTATTGTACAGATTATTTCATCACCCAGGTATTAAGCCTAATACCCATTAGAGGACCTTTTTCTTGATCCTCTTCCTGCCCCCACCCTCCATCCCACCGCTGATAGACTCCAGTGTCTGCTGTTCCCCTCTATGTATCCATGTGTTCTCATCATTTAGCTCCTACATATAAGTGAGAATATGTAGTATTTGGTTTTCTGTTCCAGTGTTAGTTTGCTAAGGATAATGGCATCCAGCTCCATTCATGTTGCTCCAGAGGAAATGATCTCATTCTCTTTTAAGGGTGCATAGTATGTCATGGTGTATATGTACCACATTTTCTTTATCCAGTCTACTCTTGATGGGCATTTAGGTTGATTCTATGTATCTGCTA